TGGACATGTACAAGAGGGTCCCCAGGGTTAATAACATAAGGCAGAGTTTAACTTAACAATGTAAATTTTGTAATCCCTGTGTGTTGGTGCAATAAATTTCATTATACAAAAAGAAAACTAAAACATATTCTGCATTTTCATAATTATAAAATCATAATATTATTTTATTGCATATGTTGCAATGGATGAAAAAAGGGAAAGAAATAAAGACTGTCGTCGTCTCATAAAATGGAATTGAAAGATTTTGTAATCTTTTGTTAATATCCATGTAAGGTTAAGTATTTTAGTGCCCCACAGGCTATTTATCAACACGTTTCGATACTAAATCCACATTTCATACATACTACAATTATATATAAGTATTTATTTTCAGATTTATATAGATCGTACGTAAATCTAGGTAAAGGTAAGAGAGATTATGAAATTAAATTGAAGAAATTTAGGCAAATTATCAACATATTAATTATTTAATGTATGAAATGCTATTAATGCTTAAATTAATAATCTTTAACTAAATCAACCATAAGTTAAGATTAAAAACAACTAATTTGTATAATTTTCCCTAAAAAAATAACTGAATCTTGTCTAATTAGCATTTCACGGTTTTATATTTCATTACAAGATTATTGTACAATAGAATCATATGTTGTATCAATTAATTTTGTTTATTTATGCACTTATCAACATTAAAGTTATAATTATTTATATTTACTTACTATAACAGTTAAGTATTAAAGTACCAAATTAGTAAAATTGTTGAAATTAAAAAAAAAATATTGTTCTAATATTTAACACTATATTTTACAAAATCCAATTTAATTTACAACTTCAAAATTTATAATGAAAAACTAGTATACAGATATGTATTATTTTGCAAAAGTCTAATTGTTATTCATTGAGATAAAAGGTAACTGCATAATACATATAATAGGTCTAGTGCACTTCAAAGTGCACTTATTAAGTGCAATTTAAAATGCACATCAACTTTGTGTAAACTAAAGTGTGAACTCACTGTACTTAAAAGGGTAAACATCAAGTAGACTGTATTAGTTTAAAGTATATTATTGACAGCAATATAAAGCTCGCAGATCTAACGCAAGGGAAATGAAATAAGAAGCACGTGTAAAATGGTCGCTTTTTGGACCTGCGATTATATATAAGATAAAGAAATGTCATTAAAAGAATTTGAATTTTATTTGTCTGATTCCGTTGCAGATTAGTTTTGCATTAGATTTTAGTGTTTACTTCATGTACTTTACATGATATAAGGCCTAAAGCCCTTATTCAAGTGAAATATACGGGAGAATCCTGCATGCTTTGTTTTTTTTTTTTTTTTTTTTTTTTTTTATTTATTTATTTTTTTGACCGGCTATCTTTTCGTTCTGTATTATAAAGTGTATAAATGGGCGGAAAAATCATCACAACCAAACCGTTTAAAAATTATTCCGTTGCAGATTCGATTTTGTACTAGTTTAGCGGGTCTTTCTTACATAATATTTGGACCAAAGCCCTATCCAAAACAATATGTCTAGGCGATTATCGCGTGTCATTGTCTTTTTTGTACCGGCTATTTGTTCTTTCTGTACATAAAGTGTATATATTTTCAAAAAGAATCATATTCTCGAGCTAACAATAAACAAAATAGATAAATACAGAATCCCTGAAGAAACCATTTATCTGATTTCGTTGCAGATTCGTTTTTATAGTAGTTTGGACGGCCTTGTTTGCACAATATGAAGACTAAAGTCTAAACAAAAGCAATATATTCGGAATATGTCCGCGTGGCATGGTCGTATTTTGTACCAGCGTTTTGTTCTTTCTGTTTAAAAAGTATATTTATTTTCGTAATAGTCACCTTATTCCTGAGCGAACATTTAAAAAGACTATTTATCTGATTCCATTGCGGATTCGATTTTATACAAGTTTGGAGGGTCTTCAAAACCAAATATTGGTACCAAAGCCCTATTCAAAACAATATGTCTGAGAGATGTATGTCGGGCTTGGTCGTTCTTCAACACAATATTTGTGAGCCATTCGTTAGAATACCATGTGTCTGGTTCCGTTGCGGTTTCGATTTTGTACAAGTTTGGAGGGTCTTCTTTGTCTAACATGAGGACCAAAGTATTAACCGAAGCAATATATTCGGGAGATTACGTTAGTTCGTATCAGCGATTTCTCTTTATATATATTAAGCATATATTGTCTTCATAAAAACAATATTCTCGAGCTAACAGTTAAACCATCATTTGTCTGCTTCACTTACAGATTCGATTAAAAAACTAGTTTGCAGAGTCTTTATTGCACACTATGATGACCAAAGCCCTAACGCAAACTATATGTCCTGGATATTTTTCCATGGCGTAGTCGTTTTTAGCACTGACTGTTTGTGTCTGTATATGAAGTGAATATAGCGTCATAGGGGAACCGGAACACTACAAGACTAAAAAAAAGTATTCTTCTACGACCGTCCTTCGTTTTTTAGTTAACTAAACATAATAACACTTTCATAAATATATCATACAGTTATGTGTATGACAATATGACAAGGAAAGAATGATCAACGGCCATGTATATCAAAGAAATTAAAACAACAACCCGTTATTCACTTATGTTTAATTTACTAATTCTGTAGTTTTCAGAATGGTTTCCATTAACATATATCAGGTCTATTCAAAAAAAGTTAAAATGACCAGGTCTGATGCTATACAATGTCTAATCCCTATTTCGAGCGCGATGTTCGTGCGCTTAAACTATTGATAAGAAAACAAAATATAATCATGCAAACCTGGTAAGAAAGTGAAACTGCATCACTTTATTTTCGGCATTGCTTTGCTGGTATCCACAGTGTCTATTTTAACTAGCACGAACATAAACTAGTGCGCGGGAATTGTAAATAAAATGTTATAATGCTTTCTATTTTGAGCAACCAAAACATACGTCCATTCAATTCGTATATACAATACACATTTAACTATCCGTCTCACAATGTAACAAATTATCCAGACAGGTCTATGTGTTCACGGACATTTTCTGGTTTAATCTTAGATCAATTGCATATGTCTAATCGTTAAAATATAACTTAGTTTTGAATTGGCGATGTCCTGTCAGGACAATAAGTTTCTTTAAAATGTTAACTCGAAGTGTTACATTACATGTATTATATTATGATTAAGGGGCTTTTGAGTCATAGAGAAACACTGGGTTATGTCTTCAATACATCTACCCTTCCTAAAATTTGAAAATATTCAGTGGAAAAAACAAAAGCTACTCTCTTTCGCTAGGGAAAAATACCGCATACATGTATATTGCATAGTTGGCAGCTAAGACAGAATGTCTAGTTTTACAAGTTTGAAAGTCATGAATAAAAATATTATATGTAGGGAAATCTTAGAAATATACAAAAATTGTGCTAAAATGCAAGATCAAAACGAAAATTATAAGTAAATTATTGAAGAATTATAGACGCCGACCGTCATAGATTCATCTGACCCAAAGGGTTTTAAAAATTAAATAATTATTTGAATTATATCAAAAGATTTATTGTAACATAGATTGGTTGTGTTATCTTTTAACATACATTGCAAATTCAGAGTAAACGAAAATTGCGTTCAATGTCACCAAGACACACTTATTTTCACCTTTTAAATTATCTTTATGAGGTTACACAATGCCTTACCGCTCTCCTTCAATTCCGCAACTGGAATTATCTATCAAAAGCGCGAGACATTTTTGTTACGTCATACAGTATGTTTCGTAAATTATTGTTGACGTAATAAAAAGATTTTTTGTCAGGTATCCATTTTAAGAATTATAAACATTGTGATGTTGAAAATGAAAATGGGCCGTTCTTAAATTATGGATTTAGAACATACTGAATTATGATGTGTTTCAGTTACATATTTCATTTGCTTGCCCAGATATCTCAACATATGGAACAATATATCATTTTAGTATTTAAGAATGAGACATAACAATGGATCAAAATAAATCTGGACCACAGTTCGTAAGATCAGGATTCATCATGACATTATTCAGGAGTCAACAATAGGATTCCTGAAGCTGGAAATAAACAAGCAATGATTGAAGGAATCCTTCAAATTAGAATTTGTCGTTTACAAAGATCTATTTCGAAATTCATCGGGATTCAATTGCGCCCAAAAGTAAGTACAAATTCTAGTTCATGCGACATTGTGTTCTTGGTGCTTTTTATTCATGTTTTTTGAAGATTGGCATCATGCATCGCAATCAAATTGTTACATATTGTAAATACAGCTTTTTAAAATAATTATGAAACGATCCCGAGATCCGCATGTACATTTTAGATATATGACACGTGCTTTCTCACGTTCATCTTCAAATGAAGAGTACTTCGGTAATGACTACGAAACATTAACACTACACACAATTGCAATAGAGAAAGCAAAACCTGCTTTTACAAGAAAAGTAGACACTTAAGAGAAAAATCCTGAAAAATCTCGAGGGTGACTTTTCTTAAGTTTACAAAAAAGTTAATTCAACCTCGTTTTGTTAATTCATACCAGGCAAAAGTTCATTTCCCTTTTGATTGGGACAGACTATAGTCTGGAGGTTCTTCCTTATACAATACGAGGACCAAACATCCTATTCTAAAAATATGCCTGAGAGATTTGTGTCAAGGTCGTTTTCTGTTTCGTTTTTTCTGAAAATAATGTGTATACATTTTCGTAAAAAACACATATTCTAGAGCCTACCGTTGAAACACAATTTCTCTGATACCGTTGCGGATTCGATTTTGTAAACGATTGGAGGGTCTTCTGTGATCTATATGAGGACCAAAACCCAATCCAAAACAATATGTCCAAGCGACTTCCGCGTTGCATGGTCGTATTTTGGAACTGGTTATTGAAATTATGCAATACAGGTACAGGTACAGGTATAATAAAGATATTTCTAAAAATCTTAATTGATAAACAAAGCTATTCAAAACAGGAGTATAGTTTATGTAATCAAAATTCACCTACCTGCACGTTTGTATGGTCTGATGGCATAATTTATTGCATGATCCATCTTAAAATACCAAATCCTAAACTCCTTGCATCCAATACATTCATGACTGTCCGGTTTGAATGAGCTAACGATGCAGCTGTGATGCCTGAAACAAATCGTTCTGCATTCAAACGGATCATGAACTGTAACTAAGAAAAGAATCTTGTTTGACTCGCAAATAAGTGGTGGACGTATGAAGTCGTTTTTCCTCCAGTGAATTATAGTGGACGATATTATCCGTACAACAAAGAAAGTCGTGATTAATATCAAAGTAATTGAATAAAATTTCATTTTATGCATTTTTTCGCGGAAAAAATATACTGTCGACTGTTATAACAAAAGAATGAAAATGTGTCAAGAAACATTGGTACTGCGACATTTCAACAACTGAATTATTGATTAATACATTATCTCTTTGATGGTTTAATTTCAAGGACATTGTAAATAATGTATAATTATAAGTCTTTGAGGGTAAAATTTCAAACACAAAGATTGTAAATATTTATATATAACAGTTAACGGTCTTTTGTTTGAAGTGTGTAAACTGATTTAATAATGTAGAAGCTACTTCTCTTTACAATGTCTATTTCAGTTACTTTTTACGTTTTAAACTAGGTTGTAAATAAACAAGATTAATTTTACTGACATGGATGTCAAAAAGAATTTCTGGGTGTCCGGGGGCGGCGTCCTGTGAACGTTGCCTTTGCCTTGTTGATATTTATTCTTGTTATTTCTTGCCATTTAGATTGTGCAGCAACAACTCTTATTTTTTATAATTTCAAGGCCAAATTGAAATGGAAAATTTAAAATGGGGCTTAGATTCTAATAACAGTCTCAGATACTTGACAATTCACAAAAAAATATTTTGAAGGTATCAGTTTCTTTTATTACTTTACCTTTGGTTTATAAATATTTTTGTTTATTTTCTGATTTTTTAAAAAAATTTATATATAAATTGTCTATTCATATTAAATCTTATTTCTTGTAAAATTTTAAAAAGTTCTGTATTTAAAAAGGGAGTTGTACAGTATACATCAAAGCTAACTCTTACCACTTGTCCAAATACGATTTTAAAAAGTGCAATGATACACAGACTTGATTTTAGTTTTTAGCTCACCTGAGCATGCTCAGGATGAGCTTTTAGGATCGATGATGTCCGTCGTCCGTTCACATTTAGTTGTTAACACTCTAGCGGTCGCATTTTTGCCTCAATCATCATCAAACTTGGTCAGGATGCTTATTTAATTGATAGCTCGGATGAGTTCGACCATGGGTCATCTCGGATGAGAAACTAGGTCACAAGAGCTCAAAATAGAAAAACCTTTCTAACACTCTAGAGGTCAAATTTTTGCCTATATCATCATCAAACTTGGTCAGGATCTTTGTCAAGGTGATAGCTCGGATGATTTCGAATATCGGTCATCTCGGATGAAAAAGTAGGTCACCGAAGCTAAAAATAGAAAAAACCTTGTTAACACTCTAGCGGTCACATTTTTGCATCAATCATCATCAAACTTATCCAGGATATTTATCTAGTTGATAGCTCGGATGAGTTCCAACACGGGTCATCTCGGATGAGAAACTAAGTCACCAGAGCTAAAAATAGAAAAACCTTGTTAACACTCTAGCGGTCACATTTTTGCATCAATCATCATCAAACTTGGTCAGGATGCTTAACAAGTTGATAGCTCGGATGAGTTTGAACATGGGTCATCTCAGATGAAAAAGTGGGTCACCGGAGCTAAAAATAGAAAAATCTTGTAAACACTCTAGCGGTCACATTTTTGCCTCAATCATCATCAAACTTGTTCAAGATGCTTGTCTAGGTGATAGCTCAGATGAGTTCGAACATCTGAGGTCATCTCGGATGAAAAACTAGGTCATAGGAGATAAAAATAAAAAAACCTTGTTAACACTCTAGTGGTCACAATTTTGACTCAATTGTCATCAAACTTGGTCAGGAACCTTGTCTAGGTCATTGCTGGAAATAAGTCGAACATGGGTCATCTCGGATAGAAGACTAGGTCACAGGAGCTAAAAATAGAAAACTATTGTTAACGATCTAGTGGCTACTGTTGTGATTCAACTATTCTGTTAATTGGTCTGAAATTTTGTTTTAATGATTTCTAAGTCATGTTTGCACATGGGTTATCTTGGATGAAAAACTAGGTCACACCGCCCAAATAAGGAAAAACCTTTTTAATATTTTAGTGGTCACATTTTTGACTCAATTATCATCAAACTTGGTCAGGATGCTTGTCTAGGTAATTGCTTGGATGAGTTCAAAATCGCATATGAAACTAGGTCACCTGAGCTAAAAATAGAAAAATCCTGTTTACACTCTACTCACTACTGTTTTGATCCTGGATCCTGGAAATTGGTCTGAAAGTTTGTTTTGATGATTTCTAGGTCAAGTTTGAATATGTGTCACCTGGGTAAAAACTAGGTCGCACTGCTCAAATATGGATAATCCTTGATAACACTGTAGTGGTCACATCTTTTACTCACCTGTCATGAGACTTGGTCAGAATGCTTGTCTAGGTAATTGTTTGGATGAGTTTGATAAGTCAGGTGACCGATCTAGGGCCATCATGGCCCTCTTGTTATATATAAGGTGGTTAACTATGGATTTGATTTATGTTGATTTTACTTTATATATATTAAGTGCTGATCCCTCTAAAGAAATGAAAACAACAATATTATACAGCACCTATGCGACTTAATCCAGCACATCTAAGAGTTCTCTTAATGGTAACTTGTGGTAAATAACCAAAATTTTAAACATCTTAAAGGATACTATATTGATTATTTGGTAAAGACACATTTTAAAAATGTATCTATAGTTTTTATTTTGAGACATGGTAAAGTTGTGATGAAATATGAGCTTCAATAGGATATTGTATGCATTTCTCACTACTTTTCTTGGTGAAACTGGAAGATACCTATATTTATATATATATAAATAGTCTTACGCAGTCAACCAAATAATGTATTTGCCCTTTGTATTCAAAACCAAACTCATTGATATACTCTGCATTTCAAGAAAGTGTATCCTTATATGCAAACCAAAAATAGCTGGATATCAATTTTTATATTTGTTTAGGATACACTTAAATTCACCAAGCATCAGCATTATAGCAAGAATTTGTCACAAATTAGTGTTGTGTTCTTTTTATTGATATTAAAAAGGGTACCCATTGGCCAAAAATCCCAAAATACCGAAGAGCAATAACGTAAAACGTAAATAATATAAAAGTTTTACAAATTCGAAAACCTAGCTAAACACTGTTTACACAAACTGTTCGGACATTCCAGGCATTATCTCTGGGAAATTCATCTAAATGACGTGTTAAAGTTATAACTATGTTCTTCCACCTAATAAGGTTAATTAATGATAGCAAAATATATAGGAATACCACGTAGTAAAGCTTTGCGCGTCATTAAGTGTAACTCCTTAGACCTAAATCTGTAACATGCTGGACAGTTCAATACTCATAAGTAATGTATGTACATATGTATTTACTTCCCTTCTACATCATTTATCTTTTTATTTACATCATTAAGGTGACAACAGACACTTTCCGTGGTACTCACATAAATGTCATTTAAACCAACTTATTTTAGTAATAATTGTTATTTATTTAATCTTTGTGCATTAAATGTCGTTGATCATCATAAAATTAACATATTTAAAAAAATGCCTTTGTAAATGATTGATTTTTTAATAAAAATCCTAAAATTTTAAATCGTCATATCAAAGTCATTTTTCATTTTTTGTCATTAAACTTTTGGAAAATAAACATACTTATAATATCTGGGGAACCGTGTCTCAAATTTGTTCTATCTTTTCTCAAAAAAAAATATTACGTAACGTCAAATATTTTATGCGACTTTTTCATCATACATATTACGTAATTAAAGATAATTAAGTCGCTGATTGAGCAAACAAAAATCCATGACACGGTTCCCTCCGTAAATGAATTCCCTTCCATGTGCTTTAAACCGCATGTTAATTGTTTGATTATTGAAAAGTTATGCCGATTCAAAGTTAGACCGACCCGCATCAAACGAAGTGTCCTAAATCGGCTGTTCTCTCTCGGACCCCTACGTTTCACGCTAAATAATTGCATTATACAAAAATATCGCACCAGAAAGGGTCACAAGTTGCGGTAACATACCCTAACAACATTTTATTGCCCAGTGACATCTGACCAATTAAAAAGTTGCTGATTAATATCATTTTATAACAGAAATTTCTTCAAATCTTAACGTGATTTACCGTCCATCTGGTATCGGTCGCACATGTCACGTGACTTTCGGTAAAATTTGAGGCACTCGGTGGGGGAAATGGAACGTATTTGCGCACCGCTAGCGGGGTATTTATTTGTTTCACTTTTGAAGTTTATTATTATTATCATCAGCATTATTATTATATTGTACCAGTGTCACTCTGTCTGTGTATTCGTGTATGAAATTCCGTTAAAATATAAATTAAAAATAACAAAAAAAATGAGCTTCTGACGGTCTTTTAAAGTCCATGGTAGATGTACAAATAAAACGGGATATTATATTTTTTTTCCTCCAAATTTATATAAATGCTTCACATATTTTAATAGAAATAAAAGGTAAATGCTTCACATATTTTAATAGAAATAAAAGGTATCACTCGATCATTATGATCTGACCTTCTTGACTTCTATTATCATGAATACACGTATCATCTATGCACGACATAGAGATCTAGTTTCTTATCCTAGGTTTATTAGTACTGTGTTCGATTTCCTGGCGAACAGTTTATTCAAAGCATTCACTAATAATATATTTTATTATCTTTTTTTAATTGATTCATAGAGAAATAATCATCCTTAGACAACCTAAAATGGTTTAGAAATTTGTCAGAGACACCTTACTACAAGTCATATAGGCTATCACATAGAAAATGTTGTCTGTTTTTGTTGTTATTTTACTTGACATTGTTAGAAAAATAGGTTGAATGTAAATCAAGCCCTTGAATCATTACA